TTTCTGAAGAAGGGTCTAGGCCTGAAACGTCAGCCTTCCTGCTCCTCTGATGCTGCTTGGCCTGCTGTGTTCATCCAGCTCTACACCTTGTTATCTCACATTAGTGAGGCAGTTCAGTTTTCATAATAATGGCTTTTTGTTTAGTGTTCAACTTCTGATTCCAGAGTTTTACTGAATTCAAATTCTGCCATGATGGGATTTGAACCCAGGTGCCCAGAACAATACCTGGGTCTCTGGATTAATACTCCAACAACAACACCACTAACTCCAACAACAACACCACTAGACCCTTGTCTTCACCTTTGGACGAGCGTAAGTGACAACATCTGTATGGTTACACTGCTGCAGAGAAAACCTATTCTGCAAAGAAATAGCAGTGTTGAATCAGCAACAACAATATACAGTATCTCTAACACTGTAAAAGTTTCCAAGGCACTTCATAGGAATATAATAAAACAACATTTTACACTGAATGACATATAGAGGCAATAGGACAGGTAAGCAGAAGCTTGGTTAAAAAAGGTAGGCTTTAAGAAGCACCTTAAAAGGAGGAGAGAGTGAGAGAAAAGCATGGAAGTTTTGGAAGCAAGCTCCATTGCTTATGGCCCAGGCAGTTGAGGGTACTAGTGTTGCCTATGGTGCAGCAATGACAATTGAAAACGCATAAGAGCCCAAAGTTTAAAGAACTCAGATCTTGGAGAGAAATGTCCATTTGCATCAAATATAACAATAAGTTGCTACCACAACCCTTCACATTTTTCAAATTCATTTGTGGGATGTGGGCGTCGCTGGCTGGCCAACATTTCTTGCCCATCCCTAGTTGCCCCTTGAGAAGGTGGTGGTGAGCTGCCTTCTTGAACTGTTGCAGTCTACCTGCTGTTGGTTGACCCACAATGCCCTTAGGGAGGGAATTCCAGTATTTTGATCAGCAACAGTGAAGGAATAGCGATATATTTCCAAGTCAGAATGGTGAGTGGCTTGGAGGGGAACTTGGATGTAGTGGTGTTCCCATGTATCTCCTGCCTTTGTCCTTCTAGGTGGAAGTGGCAGCAGATATATCAGTCTCTGCTGTTCAGATGTGTCAGCTAGGAGTTTTACTCTTCAGTTTAAAAGAGTAGTTGAAGCATTATTCTGCTTCTAACCCGGAGCAGTACCTGTCCTGGGAGTGCTTGATTGGGGGCAGTGTAAAGAGAGCTTTACTCTGTCTCTAGCCCTGTACTATTGAAGGGAGCAGTAAACTGGGGAATTAATAAACATCTGAACAATCCCAGGATATCATTCATCTATGATCCCTGAAGTTTTGCCTTTGTTGGATGACTTGACTCTGGATTGTTGATTGATTTCTATTTAAATTGTTTTGTTTCTATTGAATCAAGAGCTGTTAAACATTTTCAGTCATTGATAATTTCTGTTAGCCTTGTTCCAGAATGTGCTCACCTGTGCAATGCGTAAGTATGTGTGTAACATTATATGTTATGTATATATACCTTGGCATTAGATTAAAATTCACTCTTTCCAAAAACAAAGGATGCCACAGAGTTCCTAGAATTTCATTCTGCTGTCACAGTGCTGTTAGAGTGAACTTAGACTGTAAGGGTTAAATGGAGATTGTTATAGTAAAAGTAAAAACCAGCCTTCAATTAATGAGCCTTGTACCGGAACAACCTTATGCATCCTAGAGGTTAGTGACAGCAGGAATTTGTAGGAATCTTGTACCGATAGGAGATAATGTTAACAAAAACATTCCTTGCCTTGAAGCAAGGGGAGATTTAGAGACAAGGATCTGACACACACTGATAAGGACAGGGGAAACAGCAATGGCTTGAGAACAGACAAGCTGTTTCTTATGTGCGTATGAAGCAAGACTGGAATTTGGGTAAGGAGATGCCTGTGGTGAAATTTCTCATTTTTTCTGTATTCTTCAGAGTTTTATGCTGGTCTAACTGCGGTGATACTCACCCTGCACTGCTTAAATAAACTGATCGTAAACCTGTTCCTGGTATCCAGTGATTGATGATTAGAAGTTACCACAAAAGTGCCTTAATCATATTTCAGTTCTCAGTTAGGAATATTGCATAAAGAGGTACATGGGCAGACAATAATATGGATATTTCTGAAATAGCCGATCCCAAAACACTGTAAAGTGCTTGGGAAGTCTAAAGGCAGAATTTTCAATGCTGAGGAAATTCAAGTCCACAGACCCACTTTGATATAAAGGGCACTGTCACACACAGTTTTCATTCTGGAGTTGGTAGGGAAGGGAATTGAGTCATACCTGCCAGCCATGGAAGATGCCTTGAACTCTTTGGGACTTTGTTCCAGTAGATTAAAAGACCCTTTAGTCCTCACACCTCACCCATTGCCAAAGTCTCCTTCCTACCAACCTATGCCTTTACCCACCACCATGTCTCTTCATACGTGCCATGCTCTCCCAATTCAGTAGAATTTCTTTCACTTTCACCTCAATGAGCATAAATGTCGAATTATTTTAATAAAAGAAAAGCAATCATACAGTGAGGACTCATGCAAAGAAAGGAAGAAAAAGCTGGGGTTTTTTTTAAACTTACCATCAAATTCATGAAAATAGTCTCCTAAATGTGATCTAAGAATCTTTTCTTCCAAAATATCCTTTTTATTCAAGAAAAGAATCATTGATGAATTCACAAAGCAGACAGACTTCAAAATAAAATGAAAAAGGGCGAGACTCTCCTTCATTCGATTCTGCAACAAAGAAAAATCAGATCATATAGAGAATATTTGCAAATTTAAGTTTTAAAATTGTTCCCCTTTCATTTTGTTGTATGTGGGTCTGGAAGGGTTAATGCTTGATTGAGTTCAATAAGGACCACACACTGCGATGCTGCCATGAAGACATGGTGGCAGAGTAAAGGAAGGTCCAGTGGGAGACAGACCCATGGCATGGCACAACAATGTTTATAGCAAATTGAGCCTATTCTTATAACCTGTAAATAGTTGCAGAAATACAGTGATCTACATCTTGTTTGTTCTACAAGACTCTTCTCGATAGACCAGATGTTGGCTACGCTCACAGGCACTGGACCACGTTAGCCCCTAAAGAACATTTGGAAGATATAGATGGCATCACATATAAAATGGTGATCAATGGGGGATCTAAAGATTTAATTTAGAAGTGCCCAACCCAGTGAGGGAAACAGGCTGGTAATACAGAAGTGTTCAAAGAAAGTAGAAACTTTGGATTGCTGAGGACAAGATCTTGTGTCAATGACACAGAAAGAATTTCAGATCTGATAAGAGATGGACTGAAACAGAAGAAATTTGCAGCTCCAAACCAGAGGCATATGCTGCGTCATGAGGTTGTGAGCTATGGGAGAGTTCCTGAGTCCAAATTCAGCAAGTGAGCGAACAGACATTGAACACTGGGTAAGTCAAAACTCAAAATCCCTGATGCAAAGGAGAATCTTTAAATGACACAGTCATTCAGGCTAGAAGAATGAGAATTTAAAAACTAATTTGCAGCTCAGATCAGTTGTGTTGCCACAGTATGCAGAGAACACAAGGCTGCTCGGAGAAATCGGAACACACAGGACCAAGAGAGAAATTTGCCTAATCCAGGAGTGGAGAGCTGGGATTGTCATTATGCTGGGTACTTAATGCAGATAAACATTGAGCAATTTAAAGAAGTGGGTGACTCTGGTCTAACAAGGAAAATTTTTCAGAAGGATGTAGTTTTTGCAGATGGTGCCAATGGATGGCACATTGGCAGCGCACATGTACAGACACATCTGGCAGTGGAACAAAGATGGCACTGCCTGGGACAAAAAATGGCACTGCCTGGAACAAAGAAGGCACTGCCCACATAATCACAGTGTAGGACAGAGTCAAATATCTAAGCATTCACTCACTGAAATCCACCAATATTTCACCTATGAAATTTAGAATCTCAAAAGCTGTTCTTAGGTGTTTTGTTTATGCAAAGAAATATTTCTCTGATTTTATTGAAACTTTAACAGCCATTTTTGCATTTGGGCCAATTATTCCATTTCAGAAGATTCCAGTACAGATGGGAAAGGCAGATAAACATCTATTATAGACGTGAAAGTCAGGAATCTTCCACCAGAGTGCAGAATCCTCTATTAAAGCTGTGAAGACAGAAAAACTCTCCACAACAGCAATTTTCAAGGGAACCGCAATTACTCCAATCCAGAAATCTTTAAAGACATTAGAATATCTTATCACATTCGGAAAGCATAGCATCAGAAATGATGCTGCCTGTGAGATTGAGTTTCAGAGATGGGCCAAACAGATCACAAACTGACCTAGCCTCTCCCTAACTCGCCACCTACACTCACATTTACTGGCTCCAACCCCGCCTCCTTGACCTGTCTGTCTCCTCTCCACCTATCTTCTCCTGTATCTATCTTCTATCCGTCTCCCCCTTTCTCCCTATTTATTTCAGAATCCCCTTTCCCTTCCCCATTTCTGAAGAAGGGTCTAGACCTGAAACGTCAGCTTTCCTGCTCCTCTGATAGTGTTTGGCCTGCTGTGTTCATCCAGCTCTACACCTTGTTGTCACAAAATTGGACAGCCCAGACAAAACGTGAGATACAGAATAGCTTCTAAACTGAATACTATGTCAGAAGCTGAACAAGTAAATACACTTCTACACACAATTGCGGATATAGCAGATGTTAGTTCTTGTAAAAGAAAGAACGGACACGTTCATTAGAGGGAGGCGATGACCTAGTGGTATTATCGCTGGACTGTTAATCCAGACACCCAGATAATGTTCAGGGGACCTGGGTTTGAATCCAGCTATTTGAATTTGAATTGAATAAATATCTGGAATTAAGAGTCCAATGATGACTATGAATCCATTGTTGGAAAAACCCATCTGGTTCACTAATGTCCTTTAGGGAAGGAAACTGCCATCCTTACCTGGTCTGGCCTACATGTGACTCCAGACCCACAGCAATATGGTTGACTCTTAGCCTCCCTCTGGGCAATTAGGGATGGGTAATAAATGTTGCCCAGCCAGTGATGGCCCCATCCCGTGAATGAATAAAAGAAAACAAAAGAAAATCAAAGAGATTCTGAAATCCTTTGACAATTAGTTCAACCTCAGAACTAATAAAATACTTGAAAGAACAAGATTTAACAGAAGAAGACAGTATCTAGGAAAATTTGTAAATGACTTCATTAATGACCTCTACTGACAAAAGGAGAGATGCAACTATGGTGACTTAAAGTGAGAATTCACAAGAAACTGAATTGTTGTAGGCATTCTTATTGTGGACATTGATTGGGTATTTGTAAGATTTATTACAGCTCACAATGCCTTCTTCACCACCCTGTCTACCTGGACTCTGCCTTCAAGGAACTATGCACCTGCATGCCTAGGTCTCTTTCTTCGGTAATATTCCCCGTAAGTATCTGGAACTCACTGCCTAAAATGATGTCAAGGCAGGAATTCTCAAGACATTTAAGAATTATTTAGATGAACACTTGAAATGCCATTGCATACAAGGCTGGAAAATTGGATTAAAATTTTGGATGTTTGAAGACCTGCATGGACATGATGTGCCAAAGGTTATTGTAAGAACTCTATGACTCTGTGATCGTGGAGATTTGGAATGAGTAGATAGTTAGCTCATTGGTTGTGTGGATGGGTAGGTGTTAGAGCAGGTGAGGTGGGTTAGGAATTAAATAGTGGGTCATTTGATGTAGCCTTGAGCTCATCCCTGTGCCAGGAAACTTGTCATTTCAACCAACTGCATGTGAAACTGACAAGGGCGGATCTCAAGTAATTACATTGTCTTCTCAAATATAAAAATGCAATGGGCAATAAAAACGTCAAGGAACCTCATCATGAAACAAAAGTCACTGAAAACTATTGCAGATATTAAAGTGTGACAAGGAACTACATTTCATACTCCCATTTGGTTAAGGTATATTCATATCAAAATGCTCTCGATGATTTTGTTTAAATGAAGTTCAAGCTGCACTATATATAAGAGCTACTTGCTGATTGCTGATGGAGAGTCCCCCCATTATCAGAACACTGAAGGATTCCAAGAACATATTGACCATGAATTTCCATTAAAACCAAGTAGCCTGAAAAATCATGCTTTGCAAGCACTCAAATTTCAGATCCACAATGTCAGCCGCAATGATCCCTGCTGGAAACACAGACTTATAAAATGACCACATATGTGTTAATTCCCAACAGTCCAAAAGGGAAGCAGAGGTCAATGGCAAGGTAACTTCACACCACAAGGTCCCCAAGGATCCAAGGAGTCTTACCTCATTCTCACTCTCTTCTAGGACTTGATCATATTCACTGAGAGAGGCCAGGAATATAACCGATATGACATTCTCGAAGCAGTGGATCCATTTCCTCCTCTCAGACTTCTGTCCTCCAACATCCACAATTCTAAGAGTTAGAGAAGGATTAGAAATCTTGAAGACAACTGGTTCGATCAGGAATAACAATAGATCATGGTGTACCACAGGAAGGATCCAAACACATGTAAGTTATTATTGCTTTAAAAAATAGTCACAAAAATAAAAAAGAACAGGATTAAATGTAAATCATAGAATATTTGGTTTACCATCAAATGCTAATACATCTATTTAACAAAAAAACAAAATCTAAGATAAATTTCTAGATTCCTTAAATCACACTCAGTGGCTCCAATGAGATTCAGTAGAACCCCACCCAACATCAGTTAAATGAATCTAATGCAGTTAATTTTATGCAAATTTAATTATGGGTTACCCATAGCCCAAGAACAGCATTGAAATCTGAGTCTATAACAGAAAATTCCTGGTGGATTTGTATAGCACACATCAGAAAATTGTGGACCTGCAGCCCTGATATTCAATCCAGCAAAATGAATGGACCATAAATCATTAGCTTTAGCCACGAGATTCTGGATTCTATTTACTTCTTCTGCTCCAGTAATAAACCTTATGTGAAAACTTATACCTGATTTCAACTATTGCAATGCTTTCCCGAACATAGTGTAACCAGTGTTAGGAGACACCTCTCTTTCATAAAGAGCAGACATTGTCAATTTCCCTGTTCACTTGAAAACTACTTTCTAATTGTACTAATTGTTCCACATAGAATGGCACAATTGAATGCATTCAAGCGTGAGTTAAAGAGTTTTTGGACTGTTTACAGCAGTTATCTCAAGGCACTGGAGCAGTACAATCAACGCTGCCTGCACACAATCCAGCGAATCTGCTGGGAAGAAAAACACAGCAACAACAGGGTCCTCGATCAGGCCCACATCCCCAACACTGAGGCACTGACCACCCTTGATCGACTGTAATGGGCTGAGCACATTGTCTGCATGACCGACATGAGGCTCCCCAAGCACGGGCTCTCCTCCCAGCTTCGAAACGGCTGGTAAGCCCCAGGTGGACAGAAGAAACATTTCAGTGACATCCACAAGGCCTCACTGGGGAAGTGTAGTATTCCCACAGACACCTGGGAATCACTGGCCCAACACCGTCCAAAGTGGTGGAGGAGCATTGGGAAGACATTGAGCACCTCGAGACTTGCCGTTAGGCAAAAGCGGAAGCCAGATGAAAACAGCAAAAGGAGCGCGCTGCCACATCGATGCCTCACCCACCCCTCCCTGCGACCACCTTCTGCCCCTGGTGTAACAGAGACTGTGGAAACCACATCAGTTTGTACAGCCACCTACAGGCTCACCCTGAGAGTGGAAGAGAGTCATCCTTGTCTGCAAGGGACTGTCAATGATGAAGATGAGAGAGGTTTTTGCCTGAAACAGTGGGACACTCAGCAGAATGGGGTCAAGGTCACAATCCACCATGATCTTATCAAAAGGCAGAGTTGGATTAATAGGCCAAATGGCTGACACTTATTCCTGTTTCTTGTGATCTTACTAAAAATAATTACCAGGATTTGTCAATTTCTTCATGTACCATGTCCTGTTTGATTTCTTTCAGTCTGGTGCAGTTATGCTCTCCAAGCTCAATTAAATTATAAATGACAGAGGAGATAAGAAAAGTAGGAAATGAGGGGAAGAGGAGGAAAGGTAGGGAGAATGAGACGGATGAGAGACAGAGAGATCTTGAGTTGGAGAGGCAGCAAGAGAAGAAATGTGAGTGGTGCAATCAGCACCCAGGGCAGGGGGATGGATTACGGCCCAATGACTAGGGCTCGGGGCAGCAAGAAGGACTCATTGTACTCAATAGGCTAGGCAGCATCAGAGGAGCAGGTAGGGTCTCGAACTGAAACGTCAGCTTTCCTGCTCCTCTGTGCTGCCTGGCTTGCTGTATTCCTCCAGCTACACACTGTGTTATCTCTGACTCCAGCATCAGCAGTTCTTACTATCTCTCATTGTACTCAAGTCGAGTGAAGGAGCGGGAGGGGGAGATGTTAGGACCCTGGCCCAGGTACAGCAGTGGGGCCCATAATTTCTGTCCATGGTCCTGGATGGAATGAGGATTGTGAATGAGATAAGTCTGCAGAAGAGACAGTAAGAGGGTGGAAAGGAAGAAAGCACATGAGATGAATCCTTTCAGTCAGTTTTGTTGTGGTTTTGCTCCCATGAACAATTAAAGTTTAAATGACAGTGAAAATGAGAAAGGAACGAAATAAGGGAATTGAATCATAGAATCTCTGCAGTGTGGAAGCAGGCCACTCGGCCCACTGAGTTCACACTGACCCTCCAAACAGCATCCCACCCAGACCCATCTCTCTACCTTATCCCTGTAACCCTGCATTTCCCATGGCTAATCTACTTAGCCTGAACATCCCTGGATACTATGGGCAATTTAGCATGGCTAACCTAACCAACCTGCACATCTTTAGACCGTGGGAGGAAACCAGAACACCTGGAGGAAACCGACACAGAGAGTTGCCCAAGGATGGACTCGAACTCGGGTCCCTAGTGCTGTTAGCGGTGCTAACCACAGAACCACCATGCCACCCTTGGGCTAGATTAGGGTCCAATAACTGGGGCTCATTGGAAGGAAGGATAGAAAGAGAGAATGAGAGTGGAAAAGAAGGAATAAAACAGAGAGAGATGGAAATAAAGCACATTAAAAATTACATTGCTGGGCTGGGCTTCAAGCTCCCTGACAAAGCATACTTTAGTTGTTGTGAGAGTTACCAGCAGACACATGGAAAATTATATATAAAATATCATCGCATCACTACACAGTATATTTCTCTATTTCTTGAAACACTGACGACCTCCACTCCAAAAGACATATTTTATTTAATTCCTTACAATTAGCAAACAAATTAGAGTGATTAAAGAGGTTATTTTGCTAGCATTATTGAGCAAGGATCTTGTAGCCCCTATAACTTGTACCTTTCTTCTCTTTCCAAGAAAATGATTTCTGCCTACCTTAAGGATACTTGATGCATGTTAAATGAATACTCATTGATGCCTGTTGTTGGTACTCGAACCCTCAAGACATCTTGATCTGTTGGTATGTAATCACTGGCTGCAATACGATCAATATCAGTCAGGTAACTGCAAAAGAAATGAACAGACCCCCGTGAGTCAGAGCATGGGTAGAACGGAAAGGATGAATGAGTAGACGTGTGTCCTTAAGCTATAGCACTGAAGTACATTAATATAGACTGACTGTTTAAAGGAGGGAATCACTGGAAAGATGTATCATTAAGATCATCCACTTGTGTCATGTGATCCCCAACATGCACACTACCAGGCTATCACCCATTTCTTCTTGATGTACATATCCGAGAAATGGCCTGAGATAGCAATTCCAAATGGAAACTGTTCATTAACAGTTTTAAAAGGGAGATTGTTTAAAGGGAGTAAGTATGAACCTTCATTAAAAAGTTAAAAACATTTCAAATCTGAGAACAAAAACCTCACATTGTTTTGGTTGGGGCGGGGTGAGGGAGTATAGGTGGTCAAGTCTTTCGGTTAAAATTGGGGTGCTTAAAATTTCAAAAATCTGAAACCTGACAACAGCTGGTCTCCAACACGCCAGCTTCTGGTTTAATATTACCGGATTTCATGATATAATAGACAGGGCTTAATGATCCTGCAACTGATGCATTAGATCCAAATTCTGCAGTCCTGCCACATCCAATCATGCATGATTTAAGCTACAAATGGCCCGTCCTCAGTGACAGGGGCGGCCCGTTACCTCTGTGTAAAAGAAAAACCCAAAGAACTGCGGATGCTTGAAATCAGAAACAAAATCAGAAATTGCTGGAGAAACTCAGCAGGTCCGGCAGCATCTGTGGAGAGAAAGTAGAGTTAACCATTGGGTCCAGTGATCCTTCTTCTGACTTTTCTTTTTTTCCATTCTGAAGAAGAGTCCCTGGGCCAGAAAGGTTAACTGTGCTCTCTCTCCACAGATGCTGCCAGACTTGTTGAGTTTACCCAGCAAATTAAGTTTTTACCTCTGTCTAAAAGACCAGGCAACAGTCTTCAACCAGGAGTGCTGAGTAGTTGAGCATTTTGGCCTCCTCCAGAAGTCCTAGCATTATAAATGCTGATAATCTGCCAATTTGATTCACTTAAGAGATGACTGAAGGCACTGGATACTGCAAAGGCAATGGGTCCTTACAATATTCAGCAATAGTATTGGGGCTAGTGCTCCAGAGCTTGACATGCCCCTGGCCAAGCAACAACATTGGCATCGACACAACAATGTGGAAAATTGCCCGAGTTTGTCTTGTACACAAAAAGCAGGACAAATCTAATCCGATCAATTGTTGCTGCAATAGTCCATTCTCAATCATTCGAGTGATGGAAGGCATCATTGACAGTGCTATCAAGCAGCACTCATCCACTAATAACCTGCAGTTTAAGTTCTGCCAGGGTCACTCAACTCATGATCTGCTTACAACCTTTGCCTAAAAATATGGACAAAAGATCTGAATTCCTGAGGTGAGATGAAAGTGATTGCCTTCAACATCAAGGCAACATTTGAGTGAGTCTGGAATCAAGGGAGTTAAAAAAGAAAGAACTGCAGGTGCTGGAAATCTGAGATGAACAGAGTTCTGAAGAAGGGTCACTGGACCCAAATTTTTACTCTGCTGTTTCTCCACAGATGCGATCAGACCTTTGGAGTTTCTCCAGCAATTTCTATTTTCATGACATCAAGGAGCCCAAACAAATATGAAGTCAAAGGGTATCAGGGGAATCGTCCCCACTGGTTGAAGTCATATCTAGCACAAGGGAAGATGGTTGTGGTTGCTCAAGGTCAATCATCTCAGCTCCAGGACATCTCTGGAGGAATTCCTCCGTGTTGTGTCTTAAGCTCAACCATCATCAATTGCTTCAGCAATGACCTTCCCTCCACCATTAGGTCAGAAATAGGTCAGATAATTAAATGTACATGGATCCTCAGATACTGGCCTTTGTCCATGGTTGATAAGTGGCAGGTAACATTCATGCCACACAAGTGCCAGGCAATCACCTTCTCAAATAGAGAGAAGCTAACCGTTTCACCTTGACATTCAATATAAACATCCTGGGGACTACTGAAGTCCACAAACTGAACTGAATAAGCCACATACACATCATGGCTATAAGAGCTGGACAAGCTACAATGATAACTCACCTCCTGTCTCCTCAAAGTCAATCCACCATTCACAAGACACAAGTCAGGAATGTGATGGAATATTCCCCACTTGCCCTGGATGGGTTCAGCTCCAACAACTCTCAAGAAGCTCGACACCATCCAGAACAAAGCAAGCCACTGCGCCATCCACCATTTTCAACATCCACCACAAACACACAATGGCAGCAATGTGTATCATCTACAAGGTGTACAGCAACTCACCAAGGACCCTATGCAGGACTATCCAATCCCGCAACCTCTACCAACTCGCAGAACAAGGGATGTAGCCATTCATGGGAACACCACTAGCTGAATATTTCCCTCCAGGCACTCGCAAGCCCGACTTGGAAATATATAACCATTCCTTCACTGGTGCTGGGTCAAAATCCTGGTACTCCCTTCCCAACAGCACTGTGCCTACACCCCAAGGATTACAGCTGTTCGGGATGGTGGCTCAGTATTGCCTTCACATGAGAATTCAGGAATGGGCAATAAATGCTGATCTTGGCAGTAATGCCCATGACCTATAGGAAATAAAGCAAGTGATTGGGAGTGGTAGGAGTCGATGAACCTGCACTTCACAGATGAGTCCAATATTTAATTAGGCCTCTTAATTTAATAGCTGGATTTCTGAGTTCACAGGATGCTGGTGCTGGTGGGGCCAAAATTTATTGCCCATCCCAGAAGGCAGTTAAGAGTCAACCCCATTGCTTTGGGTATGGAGTCCAGGTAGACGGAGTAGTGGTCAGTGCATTGAGCATACGAGTTACGAAGTCATGTTGCAACTGTACAGGACATTGTTGAGGCCACTTTTGGAATACGGCGTTCAATTCTGGTCCCCCTGCTATAAAAAGATGTTGTTAAACTTGAAAGGGTTCAGGAAAGATTTACAAGGATGTTGTCGGGGTTGGAGGGTTTGATCTATAGGGATAGGCTGAATAGACTGGGGCTATTTACCCTGGAGCATCAGAGGCTGAGGAGTGATCTTAAAGCAATTTATAAAATCATGAGGGGCATGGATAGCGTGAATAGTCAAGGTCTTTTCCCTAGAGTAGGGGAGTCTAAACTCATGCAATCATCGGCAAACATCCCCACTTCTGACCTTATGATGGAGGAAAGGTTATTTCAGAGGGTAACTGAGAGTCAACCACATTGTTGTGGGTTTGGAGTCACATGTTGGTGAGGATGGCAGTTCCCTTCCTGAAGGGCATTAGTGAACTCGATCAGTTTTTCCAATAATCAACAATGATTTCATGGTTATCATTAGATTCTTAATTGCAGATTTCTTTTAATAGAATTCAAATTCCACCATCTGAGATGGCAGGATTTGAACCCAGGTCCCCAGAACATTTAGCTTAGTTTGGGGATTAATAGTCTAGCAATAATACCACTAGGGCATCATTTCCTCTTATGTAAGTATGCAAAGCTGCAGCAGGGAATTCACTTTGCAGAAGTCTCTAAGGTTTAAACAACCCTAGGGGAATGAACAAAATACTAATTCCACAATTCGCGTTACTGCAGTTTATAATCCCTTTCAGAGAACATTGCCAGTAGCTGCCTCCCAACCTGTCACACCCAGCACTCAGGACACTGAGGTAACTGTGGTGAATGACAGGAAAAATATACAGGGCTCCTAATGTTGCCATTATGCAATATTAATAAGGTCACTACCTTATTCTCGAAGGAGTGCCAATTGCCTAAATTAAACTTGGGCCAAAGATTGGAACGGGCAACAAGCCAATTTCAAATCAGCTTTAATCTAGGCTATATAAAAAGCAAAACCAAAATCTGTGAACAGGGTAATCCTGAGATGAAAATCCTATCTATTATTTCAATTAAAAAGAATTAAGGGAAATTATTTCACACTGGCACGAATAATTATGTGGAAACAGTTGCCACAGAAGAGCATTAAACCTAATAATATAACTCAGTCCAAAAGGAAACGAGGTGTAATTCTGAAGATTGCTGGGATAGAGACCAAGAGGCAAAGCAAAACCCCAGTGGAATTGTGGAAGCAAATTTCCCTTCATTCTTCCACCCTAAAGATAAGCATAGACAAACAGAACTAATGTGCAATGATTGAGTTCTGACAAAGAGTTAACTCTCCTCTCTCTCTCTTCAGATTCTGCCAGATTTACTGAGTTTCTCCAGCACTTTCTGCTTGTGTTACAATTAGTGGCATGGTTGCTAATATTAAGTGAATTCCTGGACAGGAGGGAACATCTGAAAGGAAAATAAAAAATAAAAAAAGGCTTACTAATTTGTAGAGTCAAGCAACTGGTACTCTCGTCGTCGTTCATAACACATTCTCACTCCTGGATCATTCCATAAGCTTTTAATCGCATCTGCATGGTTCTTTTCAAGAGTAGTGATCTTATAAGCTTCTAAATCCTTTATTACCTGAGAATTTTCCTGTGAATTAAATAAGAATGCAAATGGTAGCACTAACACAGATTTGATTCCCTGAATTCAACAAGCTTTAAATGGCTACGACAGTTGAAGTTAAGCAGAAAGACATGCAACAGCAACATGATGTAGTTACAGAGTGACAAGTTTATATACGTAGTGCCATCTTAACAGTGGAGATGTGAGTTCTTATGGGAGCTATAAACATAACTGAATATGTAACTTGAAAACTGGGATCAAAATAGGTCTGCCACTCTGGTCAACTATTCCTTCTCTCCTCATTATAATTATAATTCATTCAAAATGTCACAGAATATCACTGAGCAACGAATACATAAACTTGCATCTGGAGCACTGCTAGTTGGTTTTTCTTCCTTATATTCCTATTCCCATATTCATGACAGGAATATCAAGTGACAACATGTAGAATTACACTTGGCTGCAGGTGGGATTGACTTTACAAAAATAACTATTTCATAATGAAAATTCTAATGTCCATTGGATGACGCCAAATGCCAATATCACACAAAACCTTCTTCTGAGAAAGGGTCTAGGCCCGCAACGTCAGCTTTCCTGCTCCCCTGATGCTGCTTGGCCTGCTGTGTTCATCCAGCTCTACACCTTGCCACCACATTCCTCGCCTGTATTTACTTTACAGGCTCGTCAGTGTAACACACAGAGACTCTGAAGTTGGCTGTTGGACTAGCACAGTACACAGCACTTGCAGCAATAGACAATGTTTTCTTTCCTCACTGGAAGTTAATCCCTTACTGAAGAATTGCTCAGTGGAATACAGGGGCACCAGTTATTCTCCACCCCTTTACCTAAAATCCATGTTTCATGTGTGTCATCACAGCAACAAGGCTCTCTCAATACTGAGGACATCAATAACGAACCCAATCTTATTGTTAATGAACATCTGCATGTGTACTTCCAATAAACATTGCTATAAAACAGCCATTCTCTCTTTCATAAACCAATGTGGTAGTTAGTTTTAGCATCCACACCACTGCTCTGGTTGAATTTAGTTAACTCAGTGTTGATCAAGCATCAAAGCTGCTCAGCAACAGTGACTACTCCACTCAATCTTTCAGGAGAATCTGTAAAATTAACTTTCGAAATGAAACAAAATGTGAGCTAGAATGATAAATACCTGACAAACAAGTCACATCTTTATTATGGTTAAGAAATTTAGTGCATGTGGTTAATATTATATGAAGCAGAGTTATTTCAGTTCAGAATCGACTGTTCCGTTGGTACTTTTACATGTCAAGTCTATTCATGCGTTGTATTACAGAATGTCAATGTAATTAGCAGTAAGTTTGGATATTTTAAATCAACCAGTCTGAAGCAAGTTGGGCTTGAACCTAGACCTTCTGGCTAAGATGTAGGGACACTACCACTGTCCGACAAGACCCTTTTTAGCAGTAAGTTTGAATTTCTTTTTGAATTTTACCTATTTTTCTAATCAACCTGTTCAGAGATGTCATTACACATCTCTGGAGCAGGCGGGACTTAAAACCGGGCCACCTAGTTCAGGGGTAGGGACACTACCACTACACCACAAGAGGGGCCCTGGGCAGTAAGTTTGCACTGATGATGCTCATTGAAATTAGGTTCATCCCATTGTTTCTAAAATGCCTAATATTAAATATCTAACTAACACCCTCCACACAGCTGGAATATGAGGTAATGGTTATATTCTACAGCTGGGCTATGAATTAATAATGGACAAGGATCTGGACATTCTGTCAGTCTCCTCTCCATGGGTAGCTTACCTCTCCAAACTTGGGGAGCAGCGCTAATACGAAGCTATCTGTGACTGTAATCACTTTGTTTCAGCTAAAATTACATCCATGGATACTGGGAATCTGAGATAAAACAGCTGGTGAAAGTTGACAGAATTTGGAAAAAAGCAACATTGGAACTCAGATTAACTTACCTTTCCTTCCCAAATGCAGCTGATCTGGGACATAGGCAATTCTTTCTTGTTAAAGAGTAGGTATGGGAAGTCCACAGTAAAAAGGAACTCAATTTTAACTAAAAGGCTCTTTTTGCCTCAATCTGAATGTCTTTTTAATTTTTTATTATGTTTAACTATGAATGCTGTTTCTGTAACAACCAGAAATTTTTCAGTCTTTTGCTATTTAGCTATTTAAATTCTTCATCAATTAACCAAAAACGTTTATCAAGATGTTAACAGAGAAATGTTTCTTGATGCAGTCTTCAGTACATCAATGTGACCAAAGGAATTATTATTGTTATTCAGAGTCTAATACAAAAGCACAGATGAACAGAAAATTCCTGCATTCATTGACATTTCCAGTTCAATTATTTATAGGAAGAATTTCACTTCCATTATTCTATCATTAGTTTAGGAGATTTGCTTGGTCCATCCTGTTTAATCACAAGCTGGTATAACTTTGTTCCTGCTGTTAGTGTGTCACCCAAATTAAATTCTATCACCACCACAGCAAGCTTCCTGACACAGACTTGAAGGTGCCTTTGTGGATGCATACTTGCTGTAGTGACTGTAACAATGTTAGCCAGCTGGTCATCATAGAATATAAGTTCCCTGATTGGGGCAGTTAATCTGGTCCAATCAGAGAGCCCTGGCTGACATATAAAAAGGGTGAGTGTCAGACATTCTGATACTCTAGTACCTGACTCTGAATGAAACAGTGCACAAGTCAAGGACTGCTCATGTGCAAATAAAGGGTGACTTGGTGATGGATGACTATATCTGCTCAAGACCAGAGTCTTCCCCAAGATTGAATACAAATTAGCTTCAAGAGAGAGTTCCATGTCCAAGACACAGCATAAATCTTGAAATGATCCAGTACTAATCAAATTTGACAAGTTATTCGGGCTTGATGAGTGACTGTACAAAGAGAATACGTCATTAGATAGCAGGATACAGATTTCATTCCTAATTTCATCAGGAAATTTCACAGTGAAAATTGAGGAGGAAAAGCAATATGTAACTGACAATTGATTATAGGTTTATGAGGATGAAGAACGGAATGCAACTATAACGGGAAGCAGTGGTTCAGTGGCAATGTCACTACCATGAAACTACCGTCAATTGTTTTAAAAATCCATCTGGTTAACTTGTGCTCTTTAGGAAAGGAAATCTGCTAGCCTAAATACAACTCCGGGCTCACAGAAATGTAGCTGGCTTTTAAATGCCGGCTGGAATATGCGTAACAAGACACTCAGTTCGAGCGGTAATTGGAGAAGGGCAATAAATGTTGGTCCAGGTAGCAATGCCCACATCCCATGATGGAATAAATATGGTAGAAACATACAGATCGTATATAGGTCAATGAGGATTAAACATAGCGAACGTAATCAGATAGGAACCCTGTTGAAGAATAAGTTTGGCATATAACATGTAGGCAGTATCATCAATACTGGCACAGCAACTGCACATGAGCGGGAAGTGCAGCTTCTGCAGTTCAGACATCAAAGGGAAACAGGTAAAGGTCATTGAGCCTTACTTTAAAATAAGTTATTGGCCTTTGAGTGAAGATATCAGATGCTTGGGATAAGTGAGCATGGAAGAGATATTTCAATGCTGTCTGGTTTCAATATAAAGGGAACAAAATAGCACTGATAACCTTTCGGGATGTTAAGCATCTTATCTTTCTGTCGTCTCCTTCTTACTGAACAGAATAATTCAGAAGTGAAGCAAGAATGGTTTTCACTCCTAGTATAATGTGGTCTCAGAAGCCAGACTGTTCCGGTGGATGTATAGAACTTAAAAGAGAAATACTTTATAAATAAGGTCCCAAATGAAATATTTCCCTTTCTATCTCCCTTTCCATGCTGCTTGTTGTCACAGCTGATAAATGCTGGCTACCTGAACTAATATGCTTTACTTGCAAAAGCAGATAGAGGATATATGGTGTGAGATTACCCACTTGAAGTTGCCTGGCAAGAAAATAATTTAATCTGAGCAATTGCTTCATTCTGCCAAACAGGTAATATTTCTGTCAGGATCCTATTCTTTGTTGCACATACAACTTAATATTGAAACAAAATTGCCTGTTGTCACTGAGGTTCCCTGACCTCATCTTCCTCCTTTTTCCCACTATCTCTTGTTTATAGCTACATTCTGCAGTGAAAAGCCTTATCTTTGACGGTACATCATTTGTTCCAAAGTTTATGAAAACATTTCAATATTTTAACATGAAACCTGTCCCATGAACCAGAAGGCAGCATATTCAAAACAAAATGTTTTTGAGGATGTGGGCCTTACTGCAAAGGCCTCATTTATTACCTACTCTAATTACCCTGACAACATGCTGGTGTGCCTTCTCCATATGAACCACTGCGGTGCTGATGGTAATGGCTTTCCCACAATGGTGCCAGACAGAGGATTCCAGGACAGTGCCCCAACACCAATAAAGGAGCTGGAAGCACACTGGGTGAGTGTAACCTGGAGGTGATGGCGTTTCCAAGGTGCCCTTGTCCCTATTGGTGGAGAAGCTATGCGGGTGTGAGGGACTGTTGAAGTAGCATTGGCAGGTGCTGCTGTGCATCATATAGAGAATGCATTCTCTAAACACCAGCAATGGAACAGGTTGATGGACACCATTGGCAGGGACACCATTAAATAAAACTGCTGAGTATGAGGCACTATAATTTGGGGTGAGTCTGGCCTTTTGGCCAGCTCAATGTGCCAAACTCCTGTCTGCCTTTTTGAGGTGAACATTAAAAATTTCATGGAGCTGTTTGAGACTCAGCAACCAGTTCTCCGGGTGTCTGGCTAACATTCCTGCTCAAATAACACCTAAAACAAAAGATTAACTGTTCATTCATCACTTGCTGTTGCGGGATATTGATAGGAAGAAATGGCTATTGTCTTTACCATGTGATTTTTTTTATTAATGTTGGCACCAATCTTCAACCAATGCAGTCTCTCAAAAGGTTTGTCTGGCAGACAAACCACTGGATTGATTTTAAGAATTCATCCTATTCTTATTTATTAGGATGCTATCCAGAAGAATGGAAACTGTTTATATATAGACGGCAGAAACATCATTTCATAAAATAGGCAATCCAATCCCAAAATAGAACAATCTAAAATTATGAGACTTACATTGACCATATTTTTAACATTATTTGTTCCGATCTTACCTTATTCTCCGGCAGCTGATATTGTATATTCAACGTGTCCATAGCTCTCACAATGGACTGTACTGCAGTGATAATGTTCTGAAAGACCAACTTTGCAAAGGCTTTTCTGTCTTCCTCTGAGTACCCAGACCCATGGATGATTCTCATCTGTTTGATGAATGTGCTCTTGCCACTTTCTCCAGTGCCTGACGTAAAAGAGACAGTGAGGTACAAATTTGATTGTTCAATTGTGACAGATCGCGGAAAACTGTCAAAGCAGCCATGAGGAGCAGTGTATTGTTCTGTTGTATTGTCTTGCGCAAAACTTTGCTACACGGTGAGTCCCTGGTTTCAGAGACAAGCTGGCGTCAGAAAAATAGGTCCAGAACGGGAGATGTTTGTTGATGGAAAGAAAAGGGAAGGGAAGTTCAGAGAAGCCTAGACCTTGGTGCATGTCTCCAGCCTGCTGTGTCCACTTGGAAAGGTAGAATGTTGTGTCAGGAGACAGGCAAGCTACAGAACTCTTGAGGGTATAATTAGTAAGAGCTTTCTGTCAGGGTGGAGATTGACATTTATGGCCCTTTATTTCTGGGATCCCGGGCTAACCAGTCCAGAATCAAAACCTTCAACAGCTCTGCTACATTGTACTTTATTTATAGCGCTTGACTAGCAATTCCTGTGCTAAGTGTACCACACATAACAGAGCAAGTTACAAAAGAGAATCATAATTTGGTGCGTGGGCGTCAGAACAAATAATCCTAATGCTACATTATCTCGAATACATATTCCAAGGCAACTAACTCATTTGCGAGTTCAAAGTGAGTTTGATTTTAAAAGAATGGCCCATCCCACTTTTATTTCAGGATAACTACAAATAGGCAATATACACAAGGCTTGCAAGCCAAAGAGCCACCTACAGTTTGGTTGGTAGCACCCTTCCCTCTGAGTCACAGTTGCATGTTCAAGTCCCATTCTAGGAATTTGAGCACAAAATCTGGACTGATGCTCCAGCACAGTATTGAAGTAGTGCTAATCTATTAGTCAAGACTTAAACCCAAGCTGCATCTTCCCTCTCACATGGATTTAAAAGATCCCAGGAATCATGTGAAGAAGAATCAAGATGTTTTGCCCACTGTCCTGGCTAATTAACCCTCAAACAACGCTATAAACAAATGATCTAGTCATTAACACATCACAATTCATGAGGAGAGAGATAACAAGGTGTAGAGCTGGATGAACACAGCAGGCCAAGCAGCATCAGAGGAGCAGGAAGGCTGACATTTCGGGCCTAGACTCTTCTTCAGATTCTCCAGCATCTGCAGTTCCTACTATCTCTGAAACAATTCATGAGGACTTGTTTTTGACACAAGTAGTTTCCTGTATTGATTTGCATTATAACAGTGACAACAATTCACAAGTAATACAGTGGCTTTAAAGAGCTTTGGTACATCGTGAGGCTAGGAAGGTGCTGTAGAAATGCCTTTATTATTTAATTATTATTATTTCTGGAGAAGATATACAGCATAAAGTTGTGAATGGCTTGCATGTGGTTCTTAACAACTGTGCCAACCTGATGTGGGGTAGGGGGGGGGCGTAAAAATTCTCAAAAGTGGGAACAATGCAAAAAGCATGCTGCAGCAAACAGGGAGCTGCAGAATGAGTCAATGTGAATGTAAACCCCTTCCTCTCGCAGCCCCTCAAACACCTAGAGCATTAGACGTTTTGAATGGAGGATGGTAGCAGCAGATGGTTGGGGAAGCAGACTCGGCTACTGCCTTATTTAACTCATCCCATTAAAAAAAAACATTTTGTGGTTAACTTTCTGTGCTTAAGACTGCTTTAAATAGTTGTTGGGTTGGGTACAATTAAAATAAATTATTTAGATCATGGAATCCCTACAGTGTGGAATCAAGCCCTTTGGCCCAACAAGTCCACACTGACTCTCAGAGCATCCCACCCAGACCCATCCCCCTAATCTACACATCCCTGAACACTATGAACAATTTAGCATGGCCAATCCACCTAGCCTACATATCTTTGGACTGTGGGAGGAAACTGGAGCACCTGGAGGGAACCCACACAGACACAGGGAGAATGTGCAAACTCCACACAGACAGTCACCCAAGGGTGGAATTGAACCCAGGTTCCTGGCACTCTGAGGCAGCAGTGCTAACCACTGAGCCACCATGTCACCCTTAACTATTTATCTGTTATACAAACACAGACACCAGCAGGAAAGGAAATAAATGCACTCTCAGTACAGTGGAGGTGGCATAACAGTTTGAAAACTGTAATACTTGAAAATGAACACACTAGTTCTCCATTTTGAAGTGTACAAGATGAGTTGTACCAATATGTCTCATTCACCAGTTTTACTGGTTTTTCCTTCTTTATGATGTACAATTGCCCATTGGCAACACGTATCATTGACTTTGTCCTGCTGTATCTTGAGTGCGTAGAGTCACTTCAATATACAGTAAATACATATGAAATATTTGGGAGATATTATGAAGGTCCATTTCTGTCTTAACATATGGGTGCATGAGATGCCAAAGCATTTTGGCTGATCAGTTCTGATATTGATAAATAAATTGAAATTAAGATTGTAATGCAATTCAAAACTGTGCTGCTGCACTGCGCAAAACAAAACCAATTTATTAACCCGGGTATAGACTCAGGCCGTAACAATATAGAGATTTTCTAATCAACCCATTCAGGAACATTTTTAGACTCCTCTGTGGCAAGGACAGAGGAACTGAATGCAGGCTTACCTGCCTCAGAGGTAGAGACATTACCACCACAGTGCCCTAAATGTCTTCCATAACAATATTGAAGCAAGTGCTTTATACTGTTCAAACCTACAATTGTGGTTAATTGTAGCTCCCCTACCACCATTATCTGCAAGGTCAACACAGGCAGTGCAAAAACATTGGAGAATGGGATTAGTGAAGACTTTGAAAAATGGGTGCCTGTTATTTAATGAAAATTTTGTTTTATATATTTAAGGGAGTATGAGAATTTTATATGTAGAATCACTTCCCATTTTTATACATTCTGCTTTCCCCTTTTACACAATTTTATGTCACCGGCTGGCTATGTGGTTTTGTGTTTGGTGCCACTCGTGGTTGCTCTGCACAAACATTGTCCATCTTTGCTCACATGATATACTTCACTTCCACATGCAAGCTGCGATGTTTAAACGGTACAGCGTTGTGGTCAGATCAGCCTGTGAAATACCCTCGATTCCTATCATAACAGGAGTTTCAGATGGAGGGAAAGAGCTGAGAAACCCAGTTCTCTTCAGTTTTGAAAGGAGATGACTTAAAGGGGGCCTGATAGAGTAATATCAAAAGGCTAAATGAAAGCTCCAGTAGGGCTAGTTGACAGTTTAAGTTTGAAAAAGGTACATTTCTCACTGATAAGTTTTTCCTCCAGTCATTGATGAAGTGTACTGGGGAGCAGAAACTATGTAAGTACAATATGATCTTCCTCACTTCGACATTGCCTGTAAAAGCAAAGTAATTCAGAACTGGGAAGCAGCAGGGAGAGGGAAGGGTAATTAGCTTAGATGGCTGGCAAGTGATTCATGGGGCAAAAAAAAACACCAACAGTGGAGGGTTCAAACTCATTCTAGCTGAGCTGGACTTGGGGCATGACTCCTTACCCTCTTCCTATAGCAACATCAAAATGTAAGCCACCACACAGCAACCCTCAAATTACCAAAAATGCTATATAGAGGAGAAATAGAAGAATGCAGAAACAACAGTTTGAGATAACCAACATGAGGCTAGAAGAATTTCCATTACAGAACAACAACATAGGCACAAGCAGCTACACTTGTAATGTGTAACCATTTCATAATGAGATACTATACAATGAATTGTGAGATTGTTGTTAATAAAAACTGAAAGAACTGCGGATGCTGTCAGTCAGAAACAAAAACAGAAATTGCTGGAAAAGCTCTGCAGGTTTGGCAGCATCTGTAGAGAGAAATCAGAGTTAATGTTTCAGGTCAAGTGACCCTTCCTCAGAGCTGAAGAAGGTCTGAGGGAGGGTCACTCAACCTGAAGGGTTAGCTCTGATTTCTCTCCGCAGTTGCTGCCAGATCTGCTGAGCTTTTTCAGCAATTCCTGTTTTCGTTTGTGAGATTTGAATCATTTGAATCATTTATTGTCACGTGTATTCAATGTAAAAATACAATGAAAAGTGTGTACCTTCACCGTACATTCATGGCGCCAATCACATTAACTTAGAATAAGATAAAGAAAAGATAATTTAAGAGAGTCCAACTTTCCTTTCCACTGCCGCAGTCCTGCTCCAGGCCTTCCAGCCCTCGGATTACTGACAATCCTGGTCCTACAGGAATTGGCCTTGCTGTTCATCTCTCCATCATTGTGCTACTTTTATCACTACTTTTATCAACGAGCCACAAAGACATTTCACAGTGTGATGGTTATAATTGAAAATATTCAAAAGTTTCACCAGATCCAATGGCCATTTTCTGTTCCAAGTGGGAAGAGTGTTGGGTGCAGAAGGATGTAATTGAGGTGGGGAAACTTCGAACTTTTTAATGTTTTCACATCTTGTCAGATAGAGAATTGAGGGGTATTGATGCAAAATCTTCCATCAGGAGGCGTTCCAGTGGAACTTTCACGGTAGACCATCCATGACTGTTGGAACGAGCCTGATAGAACAAATGGGCATTTCTCATTCCTGCTGTACTCTGCACATAAGAGCCCTGCTTGCCCATTACAATTGTGTTTAATGTGTCGTTTCCAATTTCCATTGAAGGCTGAAGACGCAGGTTTTCATCTGGCTAATGTGATAAAATGTATCAAAAAACTTTACATCCACATCGGAAACATCAGATGATCCTTAAGTAAGCAGAAGCAGGATTTTACAGATTTAATTTCAGCTGCCAGAAAGTCAGACCAGTGGGATAACATAAAACATAGAACAGTACAGCACAGTTCAGGCCCTTCGGCCCACGATGTTGTGCCGAACTTTTACCCTAAACCTAAGGTCTATCTAACCTCCACCCCTACCTTATACTATCATCTATATGCCTATCTAATAGCCGCTTAAATGCCCCTAATGAGGCCGACTCCACTACCCTCTCCAGCAATGCATTCCACACCACTATCACTCTCTGAGTAAAGAACCTACCTCTGACGTCTCCCCTACATCTACCTCCACTCATTTCAAAACTATGCCCCTTTGCAATAGCTATCTCCACCCTAGGAAAAAGTCTCTGGCTGTCCACTCTATCTGTACCTCTGATCATTTTGTACACCTCTATCAAGTCACCTCTCATCCTTCATCGTTCTAAAGAGAAAAGCCCTAGCTCTCTCAACCTTTCCTCATAAGATCTTCCCTCCATTCCAGGCAACATCCTGGTAAATCTCCTCTGTACCTTTTCCAACGCTTCCACATCTTTCATGTAATGAGGTGACCAGAACTGGACACAATACTCCAGATGTGGCCGAACCAGGCTTTTGTATAGCTGGAGCATAACTTCATGGCTCTTGAACTCAATCCCTCTATTAATGAAAGCTAACACACCATACGCCTTCTTAACA